AAGCCTTTGTATTCCAGGTCTGTCTGGGGCTTGTCATGGGTGAGGCATTAATCCGTAGCATGCCTGTGAGAGCCTGGCCTTCACCTGATTGCTGAGTTCACAGGAGAGCAATCAGCAATGTAATTGTCCTTGAGGACAAAGAGGCACCTTGTGATTAAAAAATCTCACAGACCCTGAGATGGAGTGGTTTCAGCTTAACAACCTTGTAGGCTTCCACTATTTTTCACTGAGGAAATAATGAACATACACATCATGAAGAATTATGTGATGAGGACTGCAACATTCTGGTTTCAGAAGTCTAGATTCAGAAATATGAATGTCTTTGTCCTCAAATGTGCCAGCTCAGAGACATGCTCATCAATCACTTCAGGAATGTTTTCTTCCATATAAATGACCTTTCACACTGGGCCACCTGTCTCCCTGAGCCTGGATGAGTAACTGGTGCAAAAGGGATCCAGCCACTGTGCTAGCCTAGGTCTTCCATAACTAGAGAGGGAGAGGTGGTCTGGATCTTGAGAACCGTAACCCAAGACAGGTGATAGATCCAATCAGTAGATGGAGGGATGACAGACACACAGACAGACTGCAGTGTTCAGACTTCACATCTCTATGACTGAATATCTGGCAAAGGAGGAAGGCTGGGTTTTGAGGCACAGTTTCAGAGGGTTCAGCCCAGGCTCTGCTGGCTCCATGCACGGGGCCAGATCATCATGACAACAAAAGCACTCGGCAGGTGGCGTCCTCCCCTCACCAGCTCTAAGCCTCAGGTGGACAGGAAAGAGAGAGAGCAAGACAGGGGAGGGGAGGAAGTGGGAGACAGAGTTCTCAATTCCTAAATCCACATTCTTCTTATGGAGGCTGCTGGCACACCTGAAATCTACAAGTATGGCTGTGTGGAAATTCAGGGGCAGTTGCTGGGGCCACACTTGGATCTGAGTCCCCAGACTGCTGTAGAACATACACACACACACACACACACAGGCAGAGAGAGACAGATACAGAGAGACAGAGACAGACAGAGACACAGACACACACACACAATGGGGTGGGGGGAACAGTGTCTCTTGCTTTACTCAGCTCTTGTACATTCACAAATGTCCACCATTCTGGGCTTCTCATTGCTTCCTGGAGAATCAGGTTTGGATTTATGTAACTGTTTCTTCAGCTGAAGGAAATTATTTTAGTAATTCTTGGAGAGAAAGAATGAGGGGAAAATTCTCTTAACTTTTATCTTTTGACCATGTGCTCACTTTGCCTTATTTAAATTAATTATTCTATTCCATGAGAACAGGATTCATATACAGTTGCCAGCCAGAGAGATGCCATGTCCCTCATGAGCACAGCTCACAAAACCCCAGCCAGGCATCATAATCAGGACAGATGCAGTCAATGCAGGCAGAACCATCAGTGCAGGGGGCTCTCACGTGCTGTGTATCACAAGACCTAGACTCCCCTTCCACTCATCTGTGACCACCTGCAAGCAATAGCACCTATGACCACTGGCAACCAATGATGCCTTTGCTTTCTGTCATTTCATTTCTGAAGTCACATTTCACAGTAGAAAATACTTGAAGAATGGCTTGTCCTTACTCTTGAAGCCAATTTTTGCAGGATATGGAATTCCAGGTTGGTGGTTGTGTGTGTTTACAGGCACATGCCTTTTAAAGGTGACTATTCATAGTTTCTCGTGACTTCTATGTCTGCTGAGAACTCAGGGCTTCCCTGTGCATGGTGTCTGCTCTTCTCTGGGTGCTCACTGTTTGCTGTTCGGTTCTGGTTTCCAGCAGGCACCCGTAGTGTGCCTGACAGCTTTGTCTGTGCTAGTTTGTATTCTCTGAGTGTTCTGAATCTGTGGATTGATGTCTTTCCCCAGTTTTATTCTCAGTAATATATCATCAAATATCTATCCATTCCCTTGTTCTTCTCCCCCAACATGTCAGACCCCATTGCACTGTATTCCATGACCTTCTCCATAAATCCAAGTGTTATTATTTACTATTGCTTTTTATTTTTCTTTATCATTTGTTTGTCTTTGTGTCTTGAGACTCTCTAGCTTAGATTTGCTTTGTTGTCCTGGCAATTCACTTGCCTCAGCCTCTCTAGAGCTGAGATTGCAGGTGGGAGTCACTGTGCCTCCAAGTTTTGTTTCTTGCTTTCTATGACTTCTTTTTATTTCAGCTCTAACACTACCATGCTTAATTTTGACTGGTGACTTGATCAGGCTGATAAACGCCTAAGGCATTAATGAGACTCAACTTTGCATGTGTCTGTGAGGGTCTGTAAAGAGGGAATTAACCGAGGAGGGAAGACTTGCCTTGAAGGCGGTCCACATCATCCCATGGGTTGAGGGCCTGCAAGGGAAAAGGAGAAATACAGCTGAGAGCCACCATCCCCCCTTCTCTGCTTTCTGATCCACACAGATGTGAGGAAGCAGCTTCATACTCCTGCCACGGCAGCCAAGGGCCACTCCTACCTCCAAGCTTCCCTGACACAATGGACTGTCTCCTTGAGCTGAGAGCCAAAACAAATCCTTCCTCCCTCAAGTTGCTCCTTGTCAGGTATTCACCGACAACATTGAGGATGACAGCGCAGATAGTTATCAGCCGCCCCAGAGCACAGGGACTATTCTTCTGCTCAGTCACTCTGTCCTTGAACCCATTAACTCCTCATTTCCAACAGTGTATGTCCCGTTTCATGCAGGAACGACTAAGGCCTGACATATCCTCCACCATGCCGGAGGTTACTCACTAGGTCATTTCATCTGGCTCCGGTTGCTGTAAGAGCCCTGCCATAGAACTCTAACCTGTGAGCCACAGTGGGTGTGCTTCTGTGAGCCATTTGCTGTCTTCTCCTTGAGACATTAGAAGGTGGTTATCGGAGGAAGTTTT